TTTTGGAACTCTGATGATAATTGTATTAGACCTTCTTGACATATTTCCTTTTTGTAACCTCTCTTCCACAGTTCCATCTTTCTGTCCTATGGGCTGCAGCTAGATAATTTCTTCAGATCTTTTAGTCTACTATTGCTCTCTTGATGGGTGTTTAATCTGCTAGTTAACATGTTTAGTGAATTTTTGATTTTATTATTGTATTTTATTTCTATTTAGTTTATTTTCAATCTTTTCCTGTGCCTATTTATGTGTATGTTATATTCTATATCAAAAAGTTCCAATGCCTAAGGTTTCTGTGAATTTCTTTTCCCTAATGCTTTTTACTAATGATACTTTATTTCCCTGTATGTTTTTATGTTTTGTAATTTTGGGCTGTAAGCTGCTTATTGTCCTTGAGACTTTATTTGTGAGGATTTTTGGGGACTTTTTTGGGGTTGAGTTTCACCAGAGAGGATTTTTATTTGCTTCTGAAGTGCCTGGGGTTGTTTGGATCTCACAACTAGCATAATTTTGGATCTCAAAGTTATATAAGAAGTGGCCTGTTTACAATGTTTTCCCCTCTAACCAGTGCCAGAGTGTATTGGTTAAGTTTCCTTGTTGCGACTTTATGGTGATCCAGGTTTACTTCTTACTCACTTTTAGAGTGTGTGGCCTCTGTGAGCCTCAACCTTATGCAGGAATTTCACATTAGATCGCCAGCCTTGGGGTTGGCTGATCAGAGAAGCATCGCAGCATCTCCAGAGGTTAGCAGAAGCCTTCAGGGAGAAAGCAGACTGTGGCACTCATTTTCCTTCCAGACTTCTTATTTCACTTTGTTTTAGGGCTTTGCAGATTTCTTACTTTTGTGCCAACTCAATAATGCATTTAAATAGATTTTAAAAAATATTTTATTCAACCGTTTAGTAGTTTCACTTGGGGAGGTCCTTCAGGACAATCAAATCTACCCTGCTGCTGGAAATGAGCCATTATGTTATTCTTTATAACTCAAGTTAATTTCTTATTAAAATCACCATTGACTTTGTCTCCATTGATTTACCTCTTTTGCTCCTGCCCTGGGTGGGTGGGAAGAGCTTTATAGTGCCAAGGCATGGGTGTGGGAGCAGGGTGTGTCTGATCCCAATATTATATTCCCATGTGGGCGTAGGTAGAGATGGTTCACCTGAATGATAACTGAGCCATCCATCCAGCCTCAAGACATTTTCAAGTCTGTTGGCTCTTGCCAGCAGTCCTGTGCCACTGCTGGAGGTTGTATTGACACTCCACTAGGGCCTGGATCATCAATTCCTTCTATAAATTACAAAGAAATGCTTGCTCCTGCAGGACAGGGTGGGGAGCAGGAATGGAGTTGGAGGCTTTCCTCCAGTGACTCTATATAGGGCCTGCCCTGGACCACCTGGCTTCTGGGGAATGGAGTGGATAAGGCAGTCTTGGCTCTTGGGCTGCAGCTGAGCTGAGATATGTCTAAAGGGGTTGAAGGGCTTGACCCAAGGGTAAAGGAATCTGGTGAGTGAGTAGATCTAGGGGGTCAGAGAGACCATTCATGGCCTGGGGCAAGAGAGAGAGAAGCTGGAGAATCAGGCATTACTGGCTCAGGAAAGTAGGCACAGGGTTTGCCTGAGAATTACCTGAGGATTTCCATAGCCCCGAGGATTTTCTTCTGCTAGTCTCTGGGGCTCCTGGGAGACAGGCCTGGGATTGAAACTTAAGGTGACCTCATTCTCCCCCAGTCCTCTCTCCATTTCTGTCCTGTTCCCTCCAACTTTTTTTTGCTACCATTCTGTTTCATAAAGAATCCATTAAATTTTTATTTATTTGAAACATAATCTTCATTTTCTTTTATTTATCAAAGTCAATATGTTCATGATAGAAAAGTTAGAAAAATGTATGAAAGTGCACGGAGGTAATTAATGTTTACCCACAGTCTTATCTACTGTTATTTATATTTTGCTATACATATTTATATATTTGTCATATCTAAGACAGGAAATACATAATTCAGTAATTTATATTGTAGAATTTAGATGATATTCGGTGGCATTTGTTTTTACAGACTTCTTTATCCCCTTAATGATGTATTATGATAAATTTTATTGCTTTAAGCACTCTTCGAAAAGATTATTTTTAATGGCTCATAGATTCCATTTTCTAGATGGAGTATCGGGTATTCAATCAAGTATTATGCATTTGTATTTTTTCTGATTTCTCAGTTTTATAAGTTACTCTTTAATGAACACACTTATGTGTAAATTTTTGTGTGCACCTGATTTTTTTCCTGTATGTATATTGCTGTAAGTGAAATTGCTAGTTAGTTATTTTAGGCTTTTGATAATCATATAGAGGTGTACTACAATAAGTCGATATATATGTGTATATATGTCATATAAAATGCTAAAAAATATTGTGTTCTGCAAAACTGTGCACTGAAAATAACATGACTTATGGGGAAAATAAATTACTCAAAATTTATTTTATGTTGTAACCACAACACTAACAAAAGATAACAAGCCTCATAAAAATGCTATTTAAAAATTAATTAGATTTCTAATAAATAGAGTAACAATTACATTACAGATTGGACTTTTAAAAGTTGTTTGATGGAAAGGGATATAAAGAAGAATTGGAGAGGAGATGCTGGGTTATGGAGACAAGGAGAAAATGCATAAAGGTGGTGAATTATCAGATGATAAGTACTTTCATGGCAGAACAAGTGGGAAACTCTAGCCAAAGAATGTGGGTGAACAGGCAGCATGAACTGCACCCCACTGGGGCTTCTCCTGCTCATCCCAGGGCATGGGCATTGAGTTCAGCTGTTGATACTTGGTGATTTAAAACACAGCCTTCTGGGAAGAATTACGTAGGAAGCAATGCATCCTCTGGGTTCTACTGATGTCCTTAACTTTCTGCAAATCACTTATGTCCTCATTCTCATTACAGAAGCTTATGCTGTAGCAAACAGACTGTACTGCAAAATTGCTGTCCAGAGACATTGTTTTTATATACTTCTAAGATTAATGTATAAAAGTCCTCAACTGGACCCTACCAAACACAGAGTATTTAAGGCCAGGCGTGGTGGCTCACACCTGTAATCCCAGCACTTTTCGAGGCTGAGGCGGGTGGATCATGAGGTTAAGAGATTGAGACCAGCATGACCAACATGCTGAAACCCCGTCTCTACTAAAAATACAAAAATTAGCCAGGTGTGGTGGCACATGTCTCAGCTACTCGGGAGGCTGAGGCAGAAGAATCGCTTGAACCCAGGAGGCGGAGGTTGCAGTGAGCCGAAGATTGTGCCACTGCACTGCAGTCTGGCGACAGAGCAAGACTCTGTCTCAAAAAAAAAAAAAAAAAAAAAAATTTTCTTGCCAGTTTGATAGATTAAACATGAACTCTCATTTTAAAATGTGCATTTTTTAATTACCAAGGAAGATGACTATTTCTTATATATATTTTAGCCAATTATATATCCCGTGTGAGTTGTTGGAGTCTGTCTGTTGCTCATATTTTTATTAGAGTATTAGTGCTTTTCTTACTGATCTTTTTAAATATATGATGGTTATCGATCCTTTCTCTGTCGTAATTATGTCAATTTTTTTAGCTTGTCATTTACCTTTCAGTTTTGTTTATGATTCTTTTGAGGTACAGAAGTTTGAAAATGTCTATAGCTCTTTTTCTTTACCTTGTGCTTGGAAAATTGTCTTCTAGATTGCTTAAGTATTTCTTCCTTTTTTTTTTACGTTCAATTGTTTTAACTAGCCAATAATTTATTTTGATATATAGTGTGATATAGTGATCTAATAATTTATTTTTCTCATACTACTATTTTCCCCAGTATTTTAAAAATTATAATTATTCCCTTAAGTTTTGGATACTTCCAATAATATATATTTATCTCTTATTATGAATTAAGCCCATTTAAGGGTGATGCAACAGATTTCATTGATTTTTATGCCAGTATTTTTCTTAGAGTCCTTCTGTTTTAGTTATTGTAGATTTTTTATTTCCTGATAAGCCAAGAGCCTTATTGATGCAGCAAGAGCTTTACAATGAGGCAAAGAGTGTCCGCCTCCTCTGGGAAGATGGGATGTCTATACAAACCCTTGGCTTTTTTCCACAGTCAGAAAACAATCTCTCCCTTTTACCACAGTCCTTGAATCTGCACCTGCCCAAACCATCCCCCCCTGCCACCCACCAGCGCACACAGGTGCCAACCAGCCACTCTGGTACAACCAAAATGTCAGTTTTGCAGTATGCAAAGACAAGGGCACAGACTGTCAGACTGTCAGATCCTGCACAGGATTTAGGAAACAGATGATTTTTCTCTCCACCTTGAAAATAAAATACATTTCAGCAGATGCATGTCCTAAAATAGTGTAGTTGGAAGTTCCCAAGAAGGTGGTCCATTGTCCATCCCTTTTTCACCAGCCTGGGCATCAGAATTCTTCTTGAGATAAAATGAGTCTTTTTATTTATTTATTTTGTATTTTTTTTAAAATTTTACTTTAAGTTCTGGGTTACATGTGCAGACTGTATAGGTTTGTTACATAGGTATACATGTGCCATGATGGTTTGCTGTACCTATCAATCTGTCATTTAGGTTTTAAACCCTGCATGCATTAGGCATTTGTCTTAATGCTCTCCCTTCCCTTGTTCCCACCTCCACCCCCCCAGACAGGCCCCAGTGTGTGATGTTCCCCTCCCTGTGTTCATGTGTTCTCATTGTTCAGCTCCCATTTATGAGTGAGAACATGCAGTATTTGGTTTTCTGTTCCTGTGTTAGTTTGCTGAGAATGATGACTTCCAGCTTCATCCATGTTCCTGCAAAAGACATGACGTCATTCTTTTTAATGGCTACATAGTATTCCATGGTGTATATATGCCACATTTTCTTTATCCAGTCTATCATTGAGGAACATTTGGGTTGGTTCCCATTCTTTGCTATTGTAAATAGTGCTGCAGTAAAAACATACATGTGCATGTGTCTTTGGAGTCTTTTTATTCTTTTAAACAGTCTTTCTTGCTGTAAGAACTCTTGTAATGGAGCACAATCCTCCTACTGCTAAGGCCTTTTCATGCACCTGGAGTAACACTGCATGGTTTTCTGTGGGCTTCTCAAAGCCTATGTCAATGTGCCTCATTGACAAGTCAAGGCTGTTTTTGTCTGAATACAGTAATACAAAAAACTTTTTTTTTTTTTAAAGTAGAGATGAGGTTTCATCATCTTGGCCAGGCTGGTCTTGAACTCCTGACCTCGTGATCCACCCACCTTTACCTCTCAAAGTGCTGGGATTACAGGTGTGAGCCACTGCACCTGGCGTATTTTTTTTTTTTTTTTTTTTTTTTTTTTTTGTATTTTTAGTAGAGACAGGTTTTACCATGCTGGCCAGGCTGGTCTTGAACACCTGACCTTGTGACCTGCCTGCCTCAGCCTCCCAAAGTGCTGGGATTTTGTCCAGCAACTGCACAACCCGCCCAGTCTCTCTGCTCTTGAACTCTGTGAGTGCTTTTAGCACCACACCTTGGGCTTGTTCCTTCACAGCTTGATTCTTGGTGTTGAAGAGAGAGTTCTGCAAGGCTGCAGGGAACGCCTGAAACATGTACTGTTGCCATGGGAGCTCATCCACCCCACTCCAGGCCTGCCTCTGCTGCTTCCTGCTAGTCCACACATTTGTTGTCAAATTCGTCGATGTCCACCAGGCGGAAGCATGAGGATGGCGTGTTCTGGGCCGTGGCAGGAGCCCATTCCACTGGCTCCGATCTGTTCCCACCTGTGCTGGCTCAGGGGTGGGAAACTATTGTAGATTTATACTTAAATTTCTCAGAGCATAATCTCTCCTTACTTTTTTTTTTTTTAAACCCAAAATTTTCTTAGCTAAGAATTTCACCTGTGTCTTCCTCCAAATCAACTTCAGTTTATCTATAGGGATTTTTATTAGGGTTGTATTAAACCAGGGGTCAGCAAATTTGTTTTGTGACCAGCCAAGCAGTAAATATGTTGCTTTGTGAGCAACATATAACCTCAATCTCTTTTCCCTCCTCTTCCTTCTTCTCCTTTCCCTCCTCCTTCTTGTTTCTTTTCTTTTGTTTACACACAAATATAAAATATAAAAACCATTCTTGGCCGGGCACAGTGGTTCCTGCCTGTAATCCCAGCACTTTGGGAGGCCGAGGCAGGCACATCACCTGAGGTCAGGAGTTTGAGACCAGCCTGGCCAACATGGTGAAACCCTGTCTCTACTAAAACTACAAAATTAGCCAGGCGTGGTGGCAGGTTGCCTGTAATCCCAGTTACTTTGGAGGCTGAGGCAGGAGAATCACTTGAACCTGGGAGGTGGAGGTTGCAGTGAGCCAAGGTTATGCCACCGCACTCTAGTCTGGGCAATAGAGCGAGACTCTGTCTCAAAAAAGAAAATCCTTATTCACAGGTTGCAAAAAATAGGCTGCAAGCTGGATTCTGGCTCATAAGCTGTAGTTTGCTGACCACAGTGTTAAACCAGCATTAATCGTTGGCGTTGCTTGGCTTGCAGCTCCCTCTCTCCACCCCACCTCCCTCATCACGCAGCCTTCTCCCTGTGTCTGTGTCCCTCGGATAAGGACACCAGTCATCTTGGATTAGGGACCTACCTTGTTCCGGTATAATTTCGCCTTAACTAATTATATCTGCAATGTCCCTGTTTCCAAATAAGGTCACATTCTGAGGTACTGGTGATAATAACTTCACCATATCTTTTTTTGGAAGGACACAATTTAACTCATAACACAAATAAATTAATCTGAGAAAAGTATATTATAAATCTTTTTAATATTTAATATTTCCATCTAAACATGACATATATATTCTATATTAATTTTATTACATTAAACCTTTCATACAAACCTCAAAGAATATGAATTTATATATTTGTATGAAGCCTCCCATTTGTCTTGCCACTATTTATGCACGAATTTATGTCTACATTTTTAAGTGAACTTGGTTTTTAGTTTTCTTTTCTTTCTATGCTATATAAGTGTTATCAAGACCATGCCTCCTCGATGGAATGAAGAGCTTAGCTTTCCGTATTTTTCTATGCATGAGGACAGTTTATCTGGAATGGGAATTAATGCTTCCTGGAAAGTCTGAAAGAAGTCACTAGTAGAACCATCAGGCCCTGTAACCTTTTTTTTTTTTTGGAGATAATTTTTTGGCAACTCTACATTTCCTCCATGGTTACTTCTCCCTCTCTCTAAGTGGACAGAATCACCCGAGCACTTGATTCAGAGGTCTTGAAATGCCTTCCTTCATCTGGATGCATGAAAAGTAGACAAGTCTGCTGACTCTGAACTCAAGACCAAGCTGATAGGCTCTGACTATGGGAGGTTTCTTCAGCAGAGTAAGTTGACTGATGCATGTTTCAGGAGTTTGTCTGCAAGGGCATTAGGCTATCTGTTGAATGCCTGGGTATGTCTGTATGCATTGGAGTAAGTGTGCAGTGACCAGAAACAGCATGCATGGAAAAATGAATGTGTCTATTCTGCCAAGGGATGGTGGCATTAGCAATCACCAAGGCAGCAAAGTAGGTTTGCAGCTAAGGGCTGCTGATGTTAGTCACCTTCTTAGCCTTCACAACAACCCACAAACTCAGGCAGCCGTCTTTCCAGCCCAAGCTAGTGCACTCAGGGCTCACCTGTCTTGACACTGCTCCTCACCATGTTTCCACAATCCCCACAAGGCAGGGAGCACACCTGCTCCCAATGGGCACCCCCACAGGTGATGCTGTGTGGAGCAGCCCATTAGAGTATCAGTTTTCTGGCTATTCTTTGGAGCTGCTGGCTCCAATATGTTTCCCCATATGCTTGAACCTTTTTGCAATTCTTCCATCTGTTTCTGGGAAATGTGAAGGAATTTAATGATCTTTTCTGGGGTTATTAAACCGACAGCTGTTGTCATTAATAGAGGACATTCTTTAGTGCAGTAAATAAATGCTAGTCATAACTCCAGCCTGTCTTATGCATACTCATTAATGACCAGAGCATTTATCTCAAGACTGGAGTGATGAACATGGGTGGAGGGGTTATGCCAGCTTTTGAGATGATTCATCTTCAAAGTGTGAACACCCTCACTTCTTTTTTGTACTCTGGGCAGCTTTTGAGGCAAAATGTATAATTGGTAAAAAGCAAAATCCAATCCAACAGCCTTTGGCTTTCTTTGAAAATGAAGGAGCTTGGATGTTAAAAAGGAAAGATTACTTTTTTTACTGTGTGCTTCAAATTATGGTTCATTTTCTAGTAGAATGTTAGAGGCAGAGAAACGAACTTTAATAGCTTGAATTGGAGGTTTTCTATACTGTTGTTGATTAGAAAAAGAGATACAAGGTTGTGCTCACACAGAAAAACAACAGGGAAAAGACACTAGATAGTAGAGGCCCTGACTTGGCCTTCACCTGCCTCATAGACAGAGTGGATTTTGGTAACCGTACCCTTAAGGATTAATCTTTGGAGTTCAGATAGCCTGGTAAGGCCACAAAGCAGAAAGGTAGAGGAATTTCTTTCTTTTTTTTTTCCCAGACAGTCTCACACTGTGGCCTGGGCTGGGGTGCAGTGGTGCAATCTCAAGTTCACTGCAACCTCCGCCTTCCAGGTTCAAGCGATTCTCCTTGCCTCAGCCTCTGAAGTAGCTGGGATTACAGGTGCCCGCCACCATGCCCAAATACTTTTTTGTTTTTGTATTTTTGGTAGAGATGGGTTTCATCGTGTTAGCCAGGATGATCTCAATCTCCTGACCTTGTGATCTGCCCACCTTGGCCTTCCAAAGTGCTAGGATTACAGGCGTGAGCCACCATGCCCAGCAGGAATTTCTTATCTTACCAGGAAGTGATTCCAAGATGTATGAACTGGGGAAGGTGAGGAATCTGGAGACAGCAAAGCTTAGTTATCCTGGCAGTCACCTACAAGTCTGCCCTGGCAGCAGGTTCTCCAGGCTGGCTTCTGGAAGAGCTGGGTCAAGCAAAACCATGTTCAGGCCCCATTCTTATGAGAAATTGGGGTGCATGGCAGGACATGGTGGCTCATACCTATAACCCTAGCACTTTGGGAAGCTGAGGTGGAGGGATCACTTGAGGCCAGGAGTTTGAGACCAATCTGGGCAACATAGTAAACCCCGGGAGTTACTTGGGAGGCTGAGGTGGGAGGATCCCTTGAACTCAGAAGCTTGAGGCTGCAGTGAACTATGATCAGGCCACTGCACTCCAGCCTGAGTCACAGATTTAGACTCTATCTCTAAAAAAAATAGTTGGGGTACAAATGGCCAATGATCAGAGAAAGAAACAAGAAGACGACACCTATAAACTTGGCAGCACTTAGCAGCTTGGGCCCCAAGTACTATTTTTCATCATCTGCCATTCAAACCTATTGAGAGCCCTGTGTTGCGGAGGTGGAGGCTTAGCAATTTCCTTTAGATACTGGATTAGCCCAATGAGGGGAATTTGGAGTGTATGCCAGGAGGCCTGATGGGTTAGAGACTGTATCTCTATCTACTTGAGTGCTTCTTGCTTAGGGAATGAAGATCAGAACCCACAGCAGCAAGCTAAGGGTGCCCAGAAGCAGTGGATCTGATAGTGGAAGAGGCAGGGGAGAAAGGGGACATCTGACACCACAGAGTCACTGCTATCCTCTTTGTCTAGTGATAAGCATTTCTTCTGAAACTATCCATCCATCCATTCAAAAAGCCTCCCTGAGTACCTGCGTATACTGGGTATCATGCTGCATTGTGGAATCTAAAGGGCTTCAAGGGCCTGCCCCTGAGGAGCTTGCAGTCTGGTGGGGAGAGAACAATATGGCACCACTGTGTGATGACTTCTAAGGGGGGTACACACAGGGTCCCACGGGGCACAGCAGAGGGGCATTAATTCCAGTTTTGGTGTGAGTAGGGGAAGATTCTGAAGGAAATACCATCTCAGCTAAGGGCTAAAAAACAAGCAGGTTTCAGCCAGTACAGAGAGGGTAGAGAAACTTCTAAGCAGAAAGAATAGTGGTACAAAGGCCCCAAGAGGAGCGAGAGGCTGGAGCTGGGATGTAGCAGGAAAGGTGAAAGAAGTAAGAGATGAGGCCAGGGCCGGGTGCAGTGGCTCATGCCTGTAATCCCAGCCCTTTGGGAGGCCGAGGCTGAGACAGGAGAGTTGCTTGAACCGGGGAGGTGGTAGTTGCAGTGAGCCAAAGTCACGCTACTACACTCCAGCCTGGGCAACAGAGAGAGACTCCATCTCAAAGAAAAAAAAAAAAAAGAGAAAAGAAGTAAGAGATGAGTCTGCAAAGGGAAGTATAGGAAGCCAGTCCTTGGGTACACTCTGTGGCTGATTAAACATACCCTGACTTTCCCAGGCTTGTAGGTTATAGCCATGCTTATAACAGCCTCCCTGATGCATTCACTGAGATTTTCCTATCGTCTTTACACTCCACCCTATACACAAATTAAAATGGAAAATTCAGTGAAGTGAAAGATAAATGGCTGTGTGGTATTTGCCCAGGAACTTGGTGCTCTGCTAAGAGCTTTAGTAACCACATAGTGTCTCCATATCTTCTTCTTGTGGGGGAAAAAGAAAGAAAACACAGTCTCTTGGGCATGGTTGTATTTCCTGGCATCAGGCATAGAGAGAAGTGCCAGCACTCCCTGGGAAAGAAAGTTCAAGGGAGTCTTCTGAATCTGTCCTGTGGTCTTTCACAGCTCATGTTTTCTCAGAATGATGGACCCACAATGGGGTCCTCAGATGGTTTCTCAGGCAAGTTTCCAGTGGACATGACTTTGTCCCATTCATTTGCAAATGAGCAGAAGCTGGGTCCCAGATGCTTCCGGGTCATTCAGAGAGCAACACTCTGGCCTTAACACACTATATATCTTTGAGTTGCACATAGAGGTAGCCTCTTGGGAAAACCACTAGCAGATTTCTCATGGAGGAGTCAACTGGGGTTGGGAGGAGTTGAGAGCTCTTGATCCTCTTGTGGGAATCTAACATTAAATAAAATATTTCTCAGATCCTAGCAAAGCTTGGGTCTTCTTTTGAAATAAAAATACTTTCAAAGAACTTCTCCCTCTTTGTTGATACAAGTAATTTCTATTATAACGGTATTTAAATATGTACCAACATGAAAGCCGGTGTGAAATCTTTCTGCTGATGGCTCTCATATGACTATAAAAGCAAAACAAATGGACAAATTATAGAACAGCAAACGATGAAATCAATAAAATTCAAATTAACAACATTAATTTAATGGGATATTGTTTTACCAAACTGAAATCGTGGCTCTCCCTGTGAGGATAGGGTTGACCATGGAGTGTGGTTCTTGAGGGACAGGTGGACCATTTGAGGAGCTGTGCCCCACTCTCCTCTGCTGTAATGACTGTGGGAAGTATGTCCAGCTACAGAGCATGCACGTTGCTGTTCTTTTCTTCTTAGCTTGCCATAATTAAAGAAAATAACTGAACCAAATGTGGTCCTTGAAATCCTGGAGCTCTGTGTTTTTAAGCCCTGGTCCTGACGCGCGCGTGCGCGCATACACACACACACACACACACACACACACACACACACACACACACACGACACAGACACACATGTGCACGTATACCCCAAGTATTCAGGAGAGCATAAAGGCCACTGTGAAAGATGCACATCCTGGCATTATGGGACTAAAGGGGCAAACCGGATTCACATATGGAACGATCATGTCACCAGGACTGTAAATTCCATGCACCTTGAGAGGCCGGATGTCTCTCTGACCTCTCTTTTCCCACACCATGCTCACATACCTATGGTGTGAGAAAGAAGAGATCAGAGAGACATGGCAGTTAAGGAGCCACAGGGGACACCAGCTTTGCAAGATGTATAGGGTGTAGCATGTGGGAGGAGGGATGACTAGGGAGGGCAGGTCACTGGGGATGATCTTGGTGAGGACCAGCCTTGGTTGAGAACGCAAGCCCTTCTAGGCTTGATCAAGTCTAGGATGATGGACCTCCCACCCAGGGCTCATGGTCTGACCCTGGCTTTAGAAGAGCTGTGGGGAGCAAGCTGCCAGGAGTGGCACCTGCCCATCCCAATGTTCTCCTTCACCGCCCGGGCCCCTCACCCAGTGTGCAATGGAATAACTTTTAGACCAGGCTGCCCCTCAGGGAAGGTAAATCCTAAGACAGTAGTTATATCAGTTACACCAGTAGCATCAAACCTGAAAAACAGGGTTTATTGAATCCAAAAACATTTGCTAAATCCCTGTATGATGTACTGGGTAGGAAACAATATCAAGGAATTCAATGAGGGAGATAAATCAGGAGTATAGATCATCGTAGCACAAGGTAAAAACATGGTATGTCCTGTATGAGAGGGAGGGAGGCTACCTCCAGCGAGGGTAGGGGTAAAATCTAGGCAGACTTCTACAAGGAGGTGGTCTCTGAGAGGTGACTGCAAGAAATTCTGAGAAGGCAAGGGCTGGTGGCCCGGGAAAGAGAGGCCAGGGTACGGAAGGGAACAGTGGGAGATGAAGCTGGAGTTGGAGGACATGGAAAGCCAGGCAGAGGAGCTGAGAGTGTCTCCAGATTTCTACTCAGGGATGGCTCCAAACCCCACCTGGTCAGCACATCGATTCCATCCCTCTGGAGGGAGTGTGGGAGCAGGACTGGAAAAGAAGACTCAGGAGATGATGGCAACTGTGTAAGAGAGAGAAGACTAAGGAGGTGGCAGTGGGAATGGAGGGAAGGGGCACAGAGTGACTGGCTCCCATGACAGGCTTTCTCTAGCCCACTTGAGGAGTGCGTGCAGAACTTTGTACTCCTCTGGCCCTGAGCTACTGGAAAGTCCCCCAGAAGCAGAGTTTTCTTGTGGCGGGGTGAGTGATGTTTGGAGAACATCCATGACAATCTCCATCTGTACCTCCAACTCCATGTCCTGCCCTCTAGAAATTCTGATACATGCTGCTCACTTGCAGTTCCAGCCCTAGATTGCTGCTGTCTAATGTCTAAATATGCATTCGTTGGCTGGGCACGTGGCTCATGCCTGTAATCTCAACACTTTGAGAGGCCGAGGCAGGTGGATCACCTGAAGTCCGGAGTTCGAGGCCAGCCTATCTTGTCTGACGTTGATCTGGAGGTCACCTTTGGCCAAAGGGTTAACTGAGATTGATCTAAACCTTGAATCCGTACCATAAAACAGTGTACAGTTAACATACTCATCTACATATTCAACTACAAGTGATATACCACAAGGTCTGCTGTCAATTACAGATCCAGCAACAATCAGGAATTAGGAACACTACTTCCAGAGAAAGGGGGTTCTTTGGGTCTATCTCAGGCATCCTCTTCCTGGTGTCCTGCCCCCAGGCTGTGCTAGGAAGACCAGATGGCCACAGGCACTGCAGCAGCTTAGACACCGTGTGGATCAGAGCCTGGCCACACCGGACTGCCACCAAAATGTTCTCTATCTCTCCACCTTCACCAGGAGCTGTCTGAGGCCAGAGACAGACACATGTATCTTGCTGGGCTGCTGCCAGCACCTGGCACACAGTAAATGCCCAGTAAATGTTTGCTGAGTTGAATCAAACTTAAACTCTTTGTATGTGGCTGATGGCTTCCAGCTCAGGCACCAAGTGGAAAATCTACATTTCCGTGGCTCACTGTTTTTGTTTTGGGCAGGGCAGCCATCATCAGGCATGTCCCTCTGCCTCTTAAGCCCTCCCCGCCACATAGCCCCGTCACACATCTTGATCTGGAACAAACTCTCTTTGCTTTCCTGGCACTGTGGCTGTCTGCCTTGTCTTGGCCTGTGCATTTCTGTTCTGGGTCTGTATTTCCGTGACCTGGATTTTAGCAGTGATGGAAGGGAATTTTTCCCTCTCCAGTTTCTCATTGAATCCATAGAAATGTGGATTACTTAGCACAGTAAACAGTCTCTTTTGGTGCAGCTGTGTGTGTGAGTGTGTGTGTCGGGGCGAGTATTTGCTATTTAATCATGTTCTGTCCACTGCGATCTTCGTTGCCTCTTGACTTTCTATATGAGGAGAATTTAGGTTTAGCAATCTGGAAGAAAATGGTGCTGGTACTCACCTTTTTTTTTTTTGAGATGGGGTCTGGCTCTGTCACAGGCCGGAGTGCAGTGGTGTGATCTTGGCTCACTGCAAACTCCAGCTAATTTTTGTATTTTTAGTAGAGACCAGGTTTCACCATGTTGGCCAGGATGGTCTCCATCTCAACCTCATGATCCACCCGCCTTGGCCTCTCAAAGTGCTGGGATTATAGGTGTGATCACTAAACCTGGCCGGGACTCCTCTTAAAGCTTTATGGCAGAGCAAATACACTTAAAAAAACAGTATATAATTGAGGTGAATAACAACATTTTTCTTAATATGCTTTTATTGTCTGGGCATAGTGGCTCACACCTGTAATCCCAGCACTGGGGAGGCTGAGGTCAGGAGTTTGAGACCAGCCTGGCCAACATGGTGAAACCCCGCATCTACTAAAAATACAAAAATTAGCTGGGCATAGTGGCTCATGCCTGTAATCCCAGCTACTTGGGAGGCAGAGGCGGGAGAACCCGGGAGGCGGAGGTTGCAGTGATCCAAGATCACGCCACTGGACTCCAGCCTGGGTGACAAGAGCAAAACTTCATCTAAAACAAAAACAACAACAACAACAAACTTTTTTTCAGACTTTGCCTAAAATTGAGAAAATATCAATTGTCCATCTCAAAAAGTATGAATATCCTTCTTGTTTTTATATGTCGCAGAGTTGGGGGCTGCGTGTACTTGCAGGGAGTGACCAAACCCCCTCCTGAGACCCTTTCTTGGCTCTGCCATGCCTGTTGATTAGGCCACATCCAACCCAGTGTATATGGGCTGGCACCTACCAAGAGACTGAACCCATCCATTGTAAATGCAGCATGTATCAGTATATTTTCAAGGTATAACCAATGGATTTGCTCGTAGTGTGGACGTGAGGAAGGACTGGGCATGGTTCAGAGTCTTGTTTTGGGCTGTTTCCTCTAAAGTCTTTTCATTGCACTCTAAACAATCACCACATCAACCTTTGAAGTATGGGAAAGGCTTTTGGAGAATGGGTTTAGGATGAGTGACGTCTCCCCTTTAAGCATCTTCCTCCCAGCTATGCTTGTTTCCTGCTTTCTGGGGCTGGGGATGAAGAATCTGAGTCACTGGGCTCCAAGGCAGGGACAAGTTCTGCCATGTGTCCGAGTGTAATGGGACAGTATATAAGCCAGCCACCAGCTGGTGAAGCTCATGGGTCAGGCTGCCCATTGTCTCCAACCACCCTGATGACCACCCAGGGTTCTGGCACCATTGGACTTGGAGGCAGAATGTATTTGGCTGCGGAGGATGGCCACAGTGAGGCAAAGCTCCCTAGTAAGGCCTGTTGAATTTACAACTCTCCTCTTTGTGATGGGGTTGAACTTCCCAGCTCAAATCAGACCCAGGATGTTCTGTTAAAAAGAGGAACAGAGAATTATATTGATTGGCCATGTTTTATAATAACTAAAATTCAATAATACTCCTTGTTAATTAAGTGCAGAGGGAAAAAAATCCCTTCTGTAAATATAGATTACAAGAGACAGATGAAGATATTATATTATAACATGGGAAGATGCTAATGTGATATGTGTGTTCTATAAATACCATAGCATCAGATCTGTCTTGATGTTGAATTGCTTTTTCCTGCTTATCGGACTCAAACCTCTCTGCCTTCTTGTTGAATGGAGACTTTGAATGAAGATTAGAAATATGGCTGGAAGGAAAGTTTTTTTTCCCCATTACTTGAAGCTGCACAATAAAAACTTGATTTTGTAAAGGGAGAAGCAATCTACAGTTACCTGTATTTAAGAGATACCTGATGGAGGCATCTTTGTTCTGTGGTGCTTCTGTAAACAGCAATTGAAGGATAATTAAATCTTTAGTTTGTTAGAACAGGAGGAGATTAAATGGGCAGTTCTGATCAACTCCAAATCATCTTTTAAGTTCCTAACTTTCTGGGTCATTGCACATGACACAGAAGCCACAGTGGGGGCTGCACCAGCTTCCAGAGCACAGTGCTCCTCTCGCAAGGAGACAGTGTTTGAAATATATCTGTGATTGAAAACACTTAAGTGTGAGGCCTCCAGCGCTCTCCCCTTTCAAGGTGACAGTAATTGAAGGATGGCACCATGCAATTCTGACATTTATATTTCAGCTGTGGAAAAGGTCAGCTTCCTTTTGGATCTTCACTGGAGCCAGCGGGAAAAGAGCTCTGAGACGTCACATTATGTTTCTGATGTTTTTAGGGCTGCTTTGATTAATAACAGCTTTAATTTGCAATGTACGTATAATTATAACCCCTCCCCCTACCACCACCATGCTCCGCCGTAGGAAACGACAGATTCTAACAACAAAGCCATCATCTCCCCCACAGAAGGGTTTGAGTAGAGACCCGTGAGCACTTGGGGAGAAATGGTCTGCATGAGAAATAAGCTCTATTCTTCACTAGATGCACACTTTAGGACCGATCATGAAGGGCCTGGAAAGCCATGCCCAGGAAGTTGGAATTTACCTGGAGGGCAATGGGAAGCCACAGGTAAGTTGATGAGCAGAAGGGAATGAGCATGTATTTGATTTTTTTGCAAGTATATTTGGTGAATTGGGGTGAGGGTCAAGGAGGAGGTGGTGAGACTGGAGGTAGGAATTTCAGTTAGAAAGGAGGCTGTGGGTGCCAGCTTGTACCAAGAAAGGATAGGGTGAAGATGGAGAGAAGGAGTTCACAGGGGGAGCATTGGCGATATAGAATGGACAGATCTTGAAAACAAGTATGTGTTGGTACGAGGAAGAGAGAGCTGCTGGAGCTGACTCTGAGGGGCTTCTAGTTAACTGAATAATCATCAGGTTTTTCCTTAGATGATTCCAACCAGTGGTGTTTGCTTAGGTTTTCTTGCAGAGAGGCTGTGTGAGTCTGAGCTTGGCCAGCTCATGCCATATTCCTTTAGGTCAAAGAACAGATTGTGGCAGTCGTCCTGGGCATCGCATCCCACAGTGAGAGAATGTTTCCAGGATGCAACTCCACCAGGAGCATCTGGGCCCAGAGTCAAAGCAACAGATCTAGAGATTCGCCATCCTCAGTAATATGGGGAGGAGGGCCTGAGCTGGCTGCTTTGCGGTAAACTAGCAGTAACTTCAGTTGTGTGGAGGGAAACCATTGCATACCATGGCCGCTTGTGACAACAGCATATGTTTCCAGGGTGACTGGAGGGAGCCAGGGATTGGTGTGTTGCTGGGGTCAGACTCAGTTTGTGATGAGGGCATAGAATCACCTCTGACCAGGTCAGGATTTAGTTCTGTAGCCAGGGTCCAAGTTCAACATCTGGCCAGGAATAGGCTGAACAGGGGCTGGAGTCAAGGCCAGTGTGTAGCTAGGGTCATGGCTTGGGCAGTGGTAAGGGCGTGGATTAAAGAGATTGATCGCATCAGAAATTATCATCAATTGGGATACTTCTTTGCAGATTGTCTGTTTCAACAGAGGCCGGGCCGTGTGGTTTCTGCCATGAGGTGGGGCCTATATTAGTTAAGGATATTCTTTTAAGTTTCACATGCTAAAGCGGAGAAAGAGATTTTTGATTAGCCTAGCGTGGGTCAGGTGTTCAACCCTGTGTCAACCAATCATCTGTGGCTAAGTACAGAGCAGAGAGGGGCGGTCTTGAAGCCATCGTACTGTTAATACGATGTACTGGGCAATTCCTAGAGAAGAGTGTGGTATTATGAACCAGAGAGCTACCCTGCTTGTGAGTTTTTTCAGAAGCATTGTAGCATCTTTCTTGGGGTTATTAACTCTGGTATTTCTAACCCAAAACTTTCCCTTACATCAGCTAAATCCTCATCATGGAGTTCACTGCCTGTGTTTGTAGAGGTGCTGATT